CCCCCCCCCCCTCAGTGTGACAGCTTTAGCTGAAAGCAAACCATTGCAGTTTTGGTGCTGTAAACGTCAGCTTCTTTTTCCTCCTTAACAGTCCTCGCTATCAGTGCTGTGGAGCTGTGCTTAGCCGATTATGTCTAAAGGACATTTTTAGTTTTATGGTTTCTCAATTTGGAAAAGGAAGTGAATATAGTTGTGTTGGAAACCTACAAATCTTTGCACTCTTTCAGCAAACGATTAGCTGGAATCAAGTTGCAGCAAAATGTTTTTAAAAGTTACAGGAAGTCCTACAATATCACTCACTTTCTTGTTTTTGTTTCTATAAATAAAAGTGAAGTTAACCCTTGTACCTCCAGCTGTGCATGATGAACTTATCAGCCATTGCTAATCATCGCTGGCATTCGCGACACAAAGTGATGCAAATTTTTTTTCTTCCCAAGTTGAAACGTTTTTAACTTGCATGGATGTGGATTTGATCAGTTCACCTCTTTAGTTCACGTCATGTTTGATGTGAACGAGCTTAGTCTTTCTCAATGGTCATCCCAACCTTTATGTGAGGTTTTGGTGTATCTGGTTTGTTTGATACTTGGATGTCTACATGATTGAGAAAACTGAATACCTCTTCTGGACTTCTGAAATCTTGCTGCTCACAAATAGTCCAGCATGCAGTGAGGTAATAATCCCATTGAGATTCCACATAGGGATTTTGATTACGAGTCATAATATTTTAATCATCCGAAGCAGAACTACTGTGCCCACAGTCCTAAATTGAAACCACATCTGTGATTGATTGGTGGAAGTCTCTGTTACCATGGAAATGTTTAAACCTGTGAAAACAGGTAGCTTAATAAACAGTAAACTTCAGAAATGGCGAGAGTGGTGATTACTGTAGAGCATGAAGCACTGTGCTATATTGATAACAAGGATAAAATATATACAAAACAATTATTCAGCAACGGGATGATTATTAGGCTCAAATTCAAGAAGTTCGTCCAGAGTGAGTGAGTGTCTGCGTATGTCTAGAATTGCAATGCATTCTGGGATGAGCAGTTTTTTTTCCACAGTTAAAAAGTAGTTCTTCACACAGTCTTGTACCTTGTACCTATCTAGCTCAGACCAAGCAGGAACTATTAAATATGAACCTATAGTAGCTCTGCACCAGATTACCTGAATTGTAGAACTTGGCTTACTCAGTTACTGAGTAACACACTGCTTTTAAACCAGTTTCAGCCAACTCTTTGTGCACTGACAAATCATTGAAGTCATTCACATAAAAACAACTCGGCAGCCACCCAGAGCGCAGTTCTCACAGGATCCACGTAACCCAGAAGGCCTCACTTGCTCTTTTACAGTTTGTTTGTCTCTTCTTTCAAAACTGCAAATTATTTTTTTCGATTTTTCTCCCAAACGCCACTGAGCTGAAGCATAGTTTGCCTGTGGCTGAAGGCGGAGGTGCAGGATGTAGCTGTGCTACGTCGCACCTTCATTATCACAGATTTTTAGCAGTATCTGTGGGTGGAATTTCACCTTCTGGCTTCATATTCAGTGAAGTTAGCCGTGTGTGGAGAGGAATGTTACCTGTTACTACTGAATGCGCCCGTGTTTGTGGCTCGGGTGTCTTGTTTGTATGGACAACAGAGTGAAGGAGAATATAGGTATAGAAAGCTGTCTGTCAGAGAGCAGGCGTGGCCCCCAAGCTGCAGTTCTCTGCAGCATCCATCTTCCTCTCCATCTTTGTGCCGCACCTGAATAATGACTCGTGCAAATCAGGCTGGAAAATCAAAGCCTCCATCGATTCTTGTTATCAATCTGGCCACTTCTACCCTAAAAGCATGGATGAAGAGACAACCAAGGTTGATGCTCTTCTTTTTCCGAGGCAAGTGCCACACACAAACATTGTTTTTTTTTGTTTTTTTTCCTTTTTGTTGTCGGAGTCTGTGCCCACCACCTCATCATACCGCCTCCCTCCTCCTCATCTCTATATGAGCCATAGCAACAGTCAGCTGCTTGGCTGTGACCCATCAGTGTAGCAGGGTAATCAGCTGTGTGTGTGCATGTGTGTGTTACCGGTAATGTCAAGAGATGTGCGATTCACTCAGCGTGTCAAAGTCCAGTTTTAATTAGTGCGCATGTGTGTGAACCTGAGGCTTTGGAAGAAATGCATAAATCACCACAGCAGCAGTGGTGCAGAGACACAGCTTTGATTTCAAGGTGCCTCGAGGAGTTGTGTGCATCATGTGAGTAACAAGGAGGAACCTTCCTCCTTCATCTGCTTTAAGATTCAGATTTCACAAAGTCACGGCGCTGCCTCATTTTAATTTGACCTCCAAACAAACCTTAAAGCTGTCAAACTCTTTCTGCTCCTTAAGGAGATATCATTGCTTCACTGCTAATGTGGAGGATTTCTTTAAGGTTTTTTTTTGTTTGTTTTTTTTGTGCTGAATTAATGCTCACCAGATTGCTCTGCAGAAAAATCAGATGTGAGAGTAAATTCACAAACCTGAGCAAATTGTGCTTAAAACTTAGAGTTGGCTTTTCTTTTTTGCGAACATCAGTATTTCTGCAAGGGTCACGTTTTTCTATCAACATCCAAGTTTAATAATGTTGTTTTTCAAGCTACTGTGCACTGGAATCATCTTAATTCTGCATCATTAGTTTAGTAGCTGTGATCTTTCATTAGTACTTGGCTTCTGACTTATAAGGTCAAGTTTATTTATATAGCACATTTCAAACAGCCGATGCTGCACAAAGTGCTTAACGATATAAAAATGGCATTAAAAAGCAACAATGTAAAACAATAATAGGACAATAAAATAATTAAAACAATAACTAAACTGATTCAAATAAGACCAGAATGCTTGGGTCATAGTGTGTTAAAAGCCAGGGCATAAAAATGTGTCTAGACCAAAATACAATGAATTGCAGTAACTAATCTGCAAGTAAGGAAAAGGTGAATAACACGTTCAAAGACGTTAGCCGGGAGGTATGGCTTTACCTTGGCTAGCTGTCTTAACTGAAAGAAGCAGGACTGAGCTACTGCACTCACCTGCTTATTCAATTTAAAAGAACCATCAATGTAGACACCGAGGTTTTTTTACATGTGTTTTACAATAGGAGGAAATGGGGCCCAGAGTGCTGTCGATGTGATTAAAGTTGCCAAAAATGACAACTTCAGTTTTATTTTCATTTAGCTTTACTATTTATCACACAGATACATAACACACAAACTCCTCTGATTCCACTGATTTCAGTTTCTGCTGCTAGTCTGAGCAGTGACGTCCTGACCTTTCCTGCGGGACACTGATGCGATCCCAAGCTCTCTGAGAGACAAAGTCCTTCCATTGTGTTTTGGCTCTGTCCCCAGATCCCCTCCAGGACACACCCAAAGCATCTCATCTACTGGCCCCAGTAGCTGTGTTGTTAGGGGTTGCTTGGTCTATGTAGGGTTTTCCAAGGAAAGGTAAGGGGCTAGGCCAGGTACGGCTCAAATAACTGAAGACAAAATCTAGATACTTGGAGCGGGGATACCAGGCTGTCCAGTGTTTACTGTATATGATTCTCCTCGTCTTTTCTCTTTCTCTGTGCTCGCTGTTTTGCCCCTTCCCCTACCTCCCTTTAAGTCTTTCTCTTTCTTACACACATGGTAAAAGAGAGTAAGTAATGCAAAGTTCAACCAAGACACTGCTGGATGAAACAAGAGCACTTAAAATCAGCCAAAAAAAGGTGTAATATGTTTTTTTTTAAATCTCCCTTTAGTCCCTCAATTACTGCCTAAATCACTCATTTAGGCATTAAGAGACGTAGATGGTAAGATGGTGACCATTTGTATTTTTAGACATCAGTACAACTCACGCATTCTAAATAAAAAGAACTCAAACGTTTAGGTTTCTAATGTTTCATGTGTGTTGATGCTGAACACAAACGTACAGTTAAATCAAGGGTAAGACAAAACTGGGTGCATGTAGCTCATTGGTGGTTAAAGCAGCTTCTACCAGAGCTGTAAGCCCAGGCGATCCTCTCTGCTGA